CATAGGAAGGGAGGCCGCCCTCCCTGACGGTTTCAAGGACCAAGCAGCTCGCCGGCAGACAAGGTTCCTGCTGTGTCTCGAGTACACAGATGAAAGGCTCCTTCTCTTCCTCTCCACTTGGTTTCAGAAGCAAGTGCTGATTCTAGTCCCCAAACTGCCCCGCCAGCTCCTCAGAATAATGGGAAAGAAAATGATGAGCAGGGGCCCTGGCAGTAAGTGGGGCACCCAGGGATGTGCTCCTGGGAGGACTTTGGGCCCATGGTCTTAAAACCAAAAATGAACTCCAAAGCAGATTTGAACACTTAAATAAGCATTTTTAGCTTCTCTTGAGTTACATAAGGGGCAACATAACCACCCTTCCCTAGCCCCTCATTTTGTGCACAGAAATCACCCACTGTGGTTTGAGGAATTCACTCAAATAGTTCCTGTCTTCACTTGTTGGGGGGCTATGGGGGGAAACACACATGGGGTGACGGGGGTCCAGCACTTCTGCCTTCTTCTCTTCCTGCTTATGTCAAAGCTCAGAGCTGGGAAGATGATGCCAAATCTTTCCATGGATCACAGGTGTGTGTGTGTGTGTTTACTCGCTGTAGACTCCTGAAGGAATGACTGACTGTCCCAGTGCCATACAGCCCCATGACGGCTGTCACATGTATACTCAAGGTCCACATCCCAGTTTCTTTTCTGAATGTTCCCTCAAGGAGTAGATGGCATATCAGAGTTTATTAATCAGAGTCCCTCAGAGAACCAATAGAATGGATGGATGGATGATGGATGATAGGTAGACAGACCGGCAGACTCATGATAAGGAACAGGCTCACACAACTGTTGAAGGCCAGACAGAGACCAGGGGTGGGGGCTGCAGGTCAAGTCAGCCCTGAGTCTGAGGGCCTGAGAACCGGGGGGCCAAACGGCGTAAGTTACAACCTGTGTCCACTTCCCTAGGCAGGAGAAGACCAATGCCCCAGCTCTGGGACAGTCAGGCAGAGAGAGAGAGTGAGAGCAAATTCTCTTACTCAGCCTTGTTCCTCAAGCCTTCCCCAGACTGGAGGACGCCCGCCCCTGCCGAAGGGGGCAAGCTGCCTCATTGAGTCCACTCATTCAAATGCCAACCTCATCCAGCAACACCTGGGAATCCCACAGCCCATTTGGCACTTAAAGTCGACCATCACACAGAGATTTGAAGTCAACCATACATACACACGTTCCCCAAATACACAGTGTCGCATGAACTCTAAGTGAGGACCACTCTGTGGGTCACAGGCATAGTGACAAAGAGCCACCGAAATTGCTCATTGGCCATGCACAGAACTCAGATGAAACTTCTCCTTCTCCTACATTTTAATTGGCTTGTTCATCTTATTATTCAGTTATGAGTCCTTTTTATATCTTTGTTCAAGCACTTTTAGGATATACAATCTGGAAATATTTTCTCCCACTCTTGTGGCTTGTCTCCTCACATAGTATTATAGTCCGAAGAATAGAAGTTCTCTATATTTTGAAGACCAATTCTCATTTGTGGCTCATGCTTTGGGTATTGTATCTAAGAATTATTTGCCTCCTCCAAGGCCAAAAAACTGTTCCCTGTAGAAGTTTTGTAGTTGGTTTCATGGCTGGTCTCTCATCAATCACACTGTCCTGATTATATGGCTTTATAATAAATTTTGACATCTGGCAGTTTCTGACATGAGAAAGTCTCCAACTTTCTGTTTCTTTTTCAAAGTTATTTTGGATATATTAAGTCCCTTACACTTCCTTATAAATGTTAGGGTCAGTTTGTCAATTCCAACAGGAGAATCCTGCTGAGATTTCTATAGAAATTGCATTGATTCTGCAGATCATGTTAAGGAGAATTGCCATCTTAACAATATTGACTTTCAATCCATGAAAATTGGATGTCTCTCCATTTATCTAAAGCTTCTTTAATTTCACTCAGCAATGTGTTTTACTTTTTAATATATAGGTTCGGAACTTTATATTACTGTTGTCTTATCATTTATTTATATGCATTTTACTCTGTGAGTGGAATTGTTTCCTTTATTTCCTTTTTGGAATGTTTGGTGTTAGTACATAGAAATACACAAATGATTTTTACTTATTGATCTTTTATAATGCAACATCTCTAATCCCATTTATTTTTCTAAGTTGTATGCACTATTTGTAGATTTATTAGCATTGCCTTCATACAAGATCATATTATCTGTGAATAAAGGCACATGAATTTCCTCCTTTCCAATTCTATGCCTTTAGTTTATTTTTATTACTTAATTGTAATGACTAGGCACCAGAACAATGCTAAATGAAAGTGGCAGCAGCAGACATGTTTGTTTTTTTCCTTATCTTGGTGGGAAAGCCTTCAGTTGTTCATAATTATGAAGGATGTTAACTGTAGGTTTTACAGAGATGTCTCTTATCAGGTTTAGGTTTCCTCCATACCTAGTTTGCTGACAGTTTTAATAATAAATGGTGTTGAGTTTTGTGAAATACTTTTTCTGCATCTATGAAGATGTAATGTCATTTTTGTCCTTTATTAATAAGATACGTTATGTTATTTGATTTGGGGTACTTTTAATTTTTTTTAAATTCTGCTTTATTCATGTATTATTAACAAATTTAAGTTGTACAATGTGGCATTTCGATACATGCATATCTTGTGTAATTAGCAGAGTCCAACTAATGAACATATCCTTCAGTTCACAAAGTTATCTTTTTTGTTGTTGTTGAGAACACTTTAGATGAATTTTGGATTTAGACCAACCACGTATTCCAGGGATCTTTCCCATTTGGACATGGTGTATTATCCATTTTCTATGTTTTTGGATTAGATTTGATAATAGTATGTTAAAACTTTTGAATCTATAGACATTCGGGATATTGGTCCGAGTTTTCTTTTCTTGTCATATATTTGTCTGACTTTATGGCAAAAACTGACCTAATCAGATGAATTTGGAAATATTCTAGCCTCTGCTTCCTGAAAGTGTCAGAGTAGAATTCAATTTATTTTTTCTTTCAATATTTTATGAAACTGCCCAGTAAGGTTACTTGGACATTTTTTTTAATTGAGGCAGAGATTGTATTTTAATTGTTAATTTTATTTCCAGGTCTGTTCAATATTGCCTATTTCTTATGGAATCAATTTTAGTTATTTGTGCCATTCTAGCAATGTTTACACATTCTCTAAAATGTTGGCATAAATTGTTCGTAATATTCTCTTAAAATACTTTTAAATTCTGCAAGGTCAATAGTGATGTCTCCTATTTAATTCCATATTTTGTTAATTTGTGTCTTCTCTCATTTTCCTTGCTCAGTCTAAAGTTTTATCAATTTAATTGCTCTGATCAAGCAGCCAACTTTTGGATTAATTGTTTTCTATTTTTTGCCTTTGGATTTTTTTCTTAACCTGGTATTTATCTTCAGGATTCTGCAGCTTTACTAGAACATGTCTAGGGTTAGAATTCCTTTTTATTTATCCTGTTTGGAAGTTGTTATGAACCAGGATCTGAGAGTAAAATTTTATCAACTGGAGAATGCTATCATTTTCTTCAAATATTGTTCTGTCCTATTTTCTGTGTTTTTAACTCTTAGAAGTTGTATTGGATGTCTTTGACCTGATTATTTAACTTTCATATCATCTTTTATGTTTCTCATATGTTTTCTATCACTTTTTCTTTTGGCTGCACTCTGGATAATTTCTTCAGAACCATCTTCCAATTATCTATTTATCCTTCAGCTGTGTCTAATTCTATCATCATCCAATGAGTTTAATTTTTTACTTCAGTAGTAGTTTTTGTTTTGCTTTGTTGTGTTTTTTATTCAAGATAATGCATTGCTCAGGAACTCATACTCTAAATATTGATAAATGTTGATAAACACCCCGAACCTACCATTTCCTGGTTCTTTTACACGTCACCATTATCCAGACCTTTGAGCTTATTTGTGCCTCTTACCCATGCAGTGACATGCTGCACTGGGGGCCCCAGCACATCTGAAGCACACTCAGTGATGTCACATGATAGCTGAGACCCACCGCGGTGGGGCACACACACAAAAGGAACCACAAATGCCTCCAATCAGGACTGGAGCTTTCACTTTGCTGATCATCTTGACCCAAGGCAGTGATGGAGAAATGTTAACAATGCAGCTGAAGCTGAAATGTGGCCTTTCCACAGCCGTAACATTGGGAATGGCAGAAAAACTGAGAAACAGTCTTCCAGTGTTCCAAAGTACCACTGAACTCAGCCATGCAGGGGCTCGCATCCTGGCATTGGTCAATGCGTGACATTCCCACATACGCCTTTGTCCATCCACTTGTCTCCCTCATTAATGTAAGTGACTTACCTTAAGTAACTCATGATGGAACTACAGCTGTTCAATAAATGTGTGTGCATGTGTTTTATTTTCCATACACCACTGACACTACCACCAGGTGATATTCTGAGTTAGGACATGCCGTGTGCGCCATTCCCATGGGGACTGCCTTATGTGTTATTTTTGCTCATAATGAAGTGAAACAAAATAAGGTAAGTTTCCCCAGCTTCCATTTCCTCCTGGCTCAGAAGGCTGCCCACTAAGGGCCCAGAACTCTTGCCCCCAGTGACGCACCTCATCTCATTTTCCTTGTGCCTCTGTCTCCCCTGCCAGTTCCTAACTCAGCCTTGTGCTGCTTGCCGCTGCCTCCCTGCCAGCGTCCTTTCTCCCTGGCTGTCACACTCCACTGCGAAAGGAAGTTGCAGGTAGACAGGAAAGGCCAGGTGTGTGCTGACTTGCATCACGTGGGGACGGCTCCTTGGGGACAGGCTTGGGAAGGGAAAGTGGCCCAGCAACCAGGGGAGGCCCATTGCCCGCCACGACCGAAGAGTGAAGTGAGTTTAGACAGGACACTATAATGAGGCGTGCAGATGCGTGACCCTGCATCCTGTGTCCGCTAGAACTGCGGATGGAGAGAAAGCATGGTGACAGGCTGGTACCATTGCTCTGCCCCCATGACCTCCTTTGATCTCTGAGGGGCCTGGGAGACTACTGAGTAACAGGCTGAGTTTTCTATGCATCAGCTGTTGCTGGCACCAATATCAGCAGCTCTGACACGGGCACCCTGGGAGGCGGTGATGCCTGCAGCGGAGGGAGCCCCACTCCAGGGACGCTGGGGTCCAGCAGAGGACAGGCCTCGAGTTGCCGGAGAACATGCTGGTGCCACAGCAGGGAAACCTGACCGTCTGAAGTGTCACAAAGACTTCAGGGAAATGGGTCACTTTTATTTTTATAGCCTTTCTCCCTGAGAACTCTGGCCAGAGTCATGGTAGGTGTGCTGAAGGAAAGGAGCCACCCCCGATTCAGAACCCCCCCTTTGCTTGGCAAGCAGCAGAATTTAACCCCCAGCCTCTCAGGGACCCAGATACATGCTGATCCTCTTCACACGGGTCAGGGCTTCAGCCTCCAGGGGCCCTCATCACCCCAGGCCTCTGGTCCTCCTGATGTGCAAGTCCTGCTTCTGTTAGGACACAGCAAGAGCCGAATCACAGCTCAGGGCGTAACATCCGGCTAAGGGCTTGTCATATTTCACTACTGCCAGAGACTGACTGGGTCCCTCAAAATACACATACTGAAGTCCTAATGCCCAGCACCTCAGAGTGTGGTGGCATCTGAGATGGGGTCTTTACAGGGGCGACAGGTGGAACGGTCCACGAGGGGTGGCCCTGATCCAAGTGACTGCTGTCTGCATGGGAAGACCAGATACAGATGCTCAGGGGGACCGCCGTGTGGGGACGCAGCAGGGCGACAGCCAAGGGGAGAGTCATCAGGGGTGACAAGCTTGACGAATCCCTGGATCTTGGACTTCCGCCTGCAGGGCAGCAGAACAAATGTCAGTTGTCTAAGCAACCCAGCCTGTGGTGCTTGGTTCAGCCACCCAAGGGGCCGGCCCACAAACGTGTGCACGTTTATATCCCCGGGGCCTGGGGGTTTGCAGGCCTCTAGTGCAAAGGTTCCTGAAAGTCCCATATTTCACTGCTCAAATAACATTGAAGTGTCCACTGTATTCTGTGCTCACCACACGGCTACATGAACTTGTTTCATTCCTGAAAACGTTGATGAAGACGTGGTTTTGGAAATCATTTGTTGAGCATGGAGCTGAGTGTGGGGAGTCTGCATGTGCCAGAGCCTGGAAGAGGAGCAGAAGGGATCAGGGGCCACAGGTTCCAGAGCACAGGCAAGGTTCTGCGGCACCTTCCGGCTGCCGGGCGCCCTGGGAAAGGATGCCATTCTGTATGTTGTTTTCACGTTGTGGGTTGGATATGGAAAATGAAGAGGGTCAGAGAAAAATCAGTCTCAGCTGCATTTCCTTGCTTTTCTTCCTTCTGAAGGCCTCACTGGTGACCAAACGCAGGCTGGGTTTGCGCCCTGTGGTGGGCGTGCCCTTTAAAGAGCCCAAGAAAAAATGGCATCAGATGAAACAGCAAGTGTCCCCTGTGCTGGGCTGACCTTTCCGTAATTGTGCATGCAGACAGCAGGCCACAGGCACAGGGCAGGGGCCCACCCTGCACCTTTACAAAATGAGCCCCCTTTCAAGCGAAACAGCATTGTTGATCAAAGCGTGGGGTGGCACACTATGTAGAGGAGGAACAGCTGGTGTCCCCATGCGACTTGCATGGTCTGGCACACACCCTCCCCTTACTAAAAACAGGTCGGATTGCATTCTAGGCGCAGCCTGCAAAGTTAATGGCAAGCTTACAGTGAAGTGCCAGCGTGGATGCGAACCTGTAATGCACAGCGACCACTGGCATTTTCATTAGTGGCCTTAGCAGCAGGCCGGCCGATGGGCATGTGACACACAGACCAGGATGTTCCAGGCACGGCACAGCCCTGCCACTTCAAAGTCGTGGCCCTGCTGGCTTGGTTTATACCTGAGCCAATTAGCCTGGAGATCAGAAGGGGCCTTGAAATGAAGCCGAGCCCTCACTCCTGCGTGGGGGAGAGTCACTTGACCCCAGGTAAGATGATAGGCGAGAACAATAGCAGATAAAGGGAGTATGAAGAGGGGCGAGGGCCGTGGCTGCCCCTGGAGGAGGAGAAACAGAGACACCGCACTGGCCGTGCCGCGGGCCTGGCTCTCCGTGTTGCTGGGCTTTTGCTGGCCACAGAGACATAACGGGAATGAAACAAGTCTGCAGGCTGTGGCTGCATCAAATATGCTGTAAGATATGCTGATTCTTGCTCCTTCTGAATTATTGAGCATTTGGCTCCCAGGAATCAGCCAGGCAGATGGGGGTGGGCAGCTCCCTCAGCAGCTCTGCGTGTTGGACACACAGTCTGCATTTCCTTCTTTTCCAGGAGGTAGAAAATATGACTTTAAAACATCCAGATTTAAGTGCTCCGTCTGCCCTCCTTAACTCCCAGCCTGCTCTGGAGTTGTAGACTTTCCCAGTGCCACAAGAAGGATGTGGACTGTGGCTATTTTCTGGTTTCTGCCGTCAGTGCTGTGGCACCTCCTGTGGGGGGGGTGTCTGCCCGGGGACCCGGGGCTCCAGGGGCGCTGGGCCAGCATCCCGCCCGGTCACTGACACATTCTGAGCAGCAGCTTCCCAAGATGCAGGCCGTTTGGCATGGGAGACACAGGGTGGCCGAGGGCTCCTGCTGTGGCTGGACTTCCATCTGGAGGGAAGGGCGGGCTCCGGAGTACATCCCATCAACACCACAGAAATGGGGCACATTCTGTGGAAAAAACACAAGGAGAAGCAGAACATGCACATGAAACAGGTGCGTGCATGTGGGTGTGTGCCTGCATGCCGGGGGGTGTCTGTGCCTGTCTGTGTGTGTCCGCATGCATTGGGTGTGTGTGCATCGGTGTGTGCGTGTGTAAAGGTGTGCACACATTTGCGCCTGTATGAGATGCGAATGTGCGAAGCACTGGATGAGGGAACAGCCTGAGGGACTCTAGGAAGTCACACCTCAGGAATGTGTGCTCAGCAACTCCTCACCTGGAATAGACCCTGAGCTCCAGTTGAAGAGCCCTCTCTGGACACCACTGGGATTCCAGCCCAGGTGCGCAGTGACTTTTCTAGTAAAGGGGCTGCAGTGGTGGCCGCAGCCAGCGGAGGGAAGGGGGAGATGCTGGGGGCGGTGGCACATCATACGGTCCATGCCGTGTCTCCTGCCTCCGCCTGCCTCTGCCTCTATGTGTCTTCATGTCAGTCTTTCTCTCTCACACCCAGGCTGCGCACAGTCACCCTGCGCTGGAGGTTTGGAAAGCTCATGCGAGAGAACGTGCAAACACGTGTTCCCAGTTTTGCTCCTGAGGCGCTGTCCTCTTCTAGCCTCTGTGCTCAGTTTTAAGGACAGTGACAAAATGTGTGAGGGCTACTTGGGAACCCATTATCAGTGTGACATGTGCAACTTCTTTCTATTGTTGTTATATCTCCCTTTGAGACAGCAATACACACTCCCACACCCCCACACTCATGCACACACAGGCAGACATGCACACTTGTACTGTCTCCCTTTGCCTGAAAGTTGGCAGGTGCTCTGGTTGGGTGTCCTGGCACTTGCTCCACACTCCTCACCACCCGCTTTTCCCCGTCCAGCCCCATGGCCATCATTTCCAAACAGCATCCCTGTTCTCCCAGCCAACTCTAATACTCCCCACCTCACTGCTCCTGATCTGGCCCCTGCTCCTTAGAAGCCAAAGCCATGGTCAACAGCCCCCTTACCACTACGCTGGGCTGGAGCTTCAATTTCAGGCCTCACCCTCACTGTGTGGCCTTGAGAATGTGGGCAGGCCCCTATTTGTTTATCTGTAAAATGGAGACAGTAGAAGCTCCTTCCTCTTACCGTCTCTGGGGAGATTAAATGGAATGATGCGTAGCTTGGGGCATATTTCAGGTTGTTCTCTACCTGCTAGTTTTATGATTGTGCTTCATCTCCAACCGCCCTGCTTCTGTCCACTCTGCCCCAAATTCTTTTCCATCTCAGGTGATTGCACAGGTTATATAATGTTTTACTGAAATATTCTTCCTCTCATTTTCCCTTTGTTACATTTTACCCATTTTTCATGTATCACCTTAACTTTCATTTTCTCATTTTATTACAAGTTTCTCACATTTTACCTGAAGTAATTGAATATTAACTAAATAGATTGGATTACATTTAAGATGTACATTGCAAACTTTAAAGCAATAGCTAAAAACTAAAGCAAAGAGATACAGCTAGGAAGCCAATAAGAAATTAACATGGAATGTTATGTTAGCTTGAGTTCTCCAAGGAGCAAACACCCAGATAGTATTACAAATCAGAGGGATTTACAGGAGAAAATGCCTGTAAGGGAATATGAGGTTGGGAGAGCTGTTAGATCATGGTGCAGAATTCAGAGGAAAGGACAAAACATTAAGTAGAAATTTCAGACTGTGATGCAGGTCTGATAGGTTTTGGTAGGACCAAATGGGGGTCCTCAAGCAAAAGTCACCCAGCAGAGAAATTACATTGTCCTTCAGGAGTGAGCTGGCCACACTCATCAGTTTGGGAACTGGCTGAAGGAAGTGTGGCCCAGGTGCAAACACATGATGAACTCATATTGCAGTTGGAACTGTCAGTTATTAACACTCTAAGAGTGTTCATTTTAAGGGCTGATCCCCAACTTCAGTACTTAAAAATCTAAGAGCTATATTTTCATGACCACCACCGAGATTAAAAAATTTTTGACAAAACTAAAAATATTTGGAAAAGAGGGACAAAACAAATGAGACAAATAAAGCATAAATAGTAAAATGTCAGACCTAAATGGAGACATATCAAAATTACATTAAATGTAAATGGACTAAACACTTCAATAAAGGCAGAGATTGTGAAACCAAGTCATAAAGTAAGGACCAATTATATTCTGCATATCAGAGATGTCCTTTAAATACTGAAACAAAAAGAGAACAAAAGTAAGAGAAAAGAAACCATGTCAACTTTAAGCACAAGAAATCCAGATTATCTCTGCTAATATCAGAATAAAGGACTTTTGCCCAGTAGCATCAGTAGAGACAAATAGTCTCCCTTTCACATGATAAAAGGGACCATACACTAGGAGGATTTAACTATTGTAAATATGTGTGCACATAACAACATATAGGGAACAATATATAAAGCAAAAACTGAACCCCAACTTCAATGTTTGTCTCCAGCCCATGGAGATTGTTGGGAGTTCTACTTGTCTTTCCTGATCTTAGCCCCATACCACATGGAACCCAAAAATGTCTTGAAGGAAAAGTGGCATGGACTGCCAGGCTCACTTCATTATGTGACCCTTTTTGCAAGGACTTTTGCACTTCTAGAGCTCTGATTTGGTAGCTCCCAAAACCTCTGATCAGCTTTGTTGTTTTTGTTTGTATTCTTATCCAGTTTTTTATTCTATTTATTCATAGATGGAAAGGTAGACTGACATAACTAGTAAATCATAGTAGATACAGAACCGAGAAGCCTTGTTCTGACAACTTCTCTTCCTAAACAATGTTGCATCTACTTTCTACACCTGAAAAATTTCCTCATAGATACATACAACCATAAGTTGTAACCATATGCAGAATTCTATTTGTATAGTTGGGCTCAATATATATTTTCCTATTAGAATTTAAGTTCCACAAGAGTAAAGACAAATTTCTCTTGTCCATCACTCTATCTCTAACACTGAGGCCAACACAAATAGAGATAAAATGTAGACAGACAGATAGATAAATAGTTAGATGAGATAACAGATGATAGAAGACAGAGATAGAGATAGGAAGAGGTAAGAAATAAACGCAGATACTAGATGATAATGATATGGATAGATTGATAGATATAGATATAGATATAGATAATGATAGATGATAGATAGATAGCAGACACATGGACAGATAGATAAATGTAAAGAGAATGAACAATAAATGAATGAATGTATTTCAAAATATGTTTCTGTATTTCCCCTGTACATAGACTGCATATGCCTCCCCAGCTTATGGAAGACTTTTCCAGGAAGAAAGGGGGATCAAGTCAGAATAGCTTCAGGAAAACTGTACTCAAAATTTATAGCTGTGTTTAAAGAATTTTGAGGAAGGGATCTTGACTGTGCATTTGAAACTTGTTTCATGTCCCAAAATACAGGGAGGGTAAGCAGGATGGTTCTCATATTTTAATACTAACTCCACCCTTGTGACATTTATCGTCTGATCATGTTACTTATGCACCTTGTACCCATATTCCCTGTAAAATGAGGGTGCTAATATTGTCTACCTTACAGGGTCTTTGCAAGAATTCTTTTTGCAAGGATTCAGTAAAATGAATGTAAAACACTAAAAGCATTACCTGGCATAAAGTAAAACAGTCAATTAAAAATATCATTAATAGTACAGTGTGTAATGACATAGAATTAGAGTGCAGATAAAATATTTTGCAAAGAAGGACAGTTGCAATACTCTCCTCAGTTTACTCCTTATAGACCTCTGTCTTAATTCAATTAAGGTTCATAACAACTGATTCCTGTTAAATTATCAAATAAGGACTCTGAAGCCTTTATGTCAACCCCATTATAGTGGGGTTTCACACCTCTAATTACACAGTTCTTTTTGTTCTTTTTCTCCTATTCTTTTACTACAAATAGTAACTTAGGAAAACATTCTTTAGAAGTCAGGTAAGCAAAGAATGTTTCTTGGAAAGACAGGCACATTCTTGGTTACCCTCCATTTTTTAAACAGTATGTAGCCCAGTGAGAATACATTTCAGCTTAGGAATTTTTTATTTTTTTTACTGCAACAAAATATTTTCCATTCAAGAGAGTTTTTGTGAAAATAATTGTTTGATCAATGAACAAAGACAGCAAGGGCCAGCTGATTCAATTGCTTCTCTCAAGATAAGCAAAGAAACCTTCAGAATCTTAGTGCTCATATTATGCACTTGCCCTCTGACTCACCAGCGACACTCCAACCTGGTTATCTGGCCAATTGTTTCAGCAATTGGCCTGTGGGGTCCCCTCAGCAGTTACTGATTGCAGTTCTTTCTTTCCTGAATACCAAATGCGAAGTTCACTGACAGTCTCATGTTCTACTGTTTAAAGAAGTTCTACTTCTTTAAAAACTTATCTTTATTAATTGTATTGAGCTTAGACTTCATAGAAACAGGGACTTACTTTTTTTTCAGATTCATGTTTTGTCTTTTAAATAACATTTGCTTAGTTAGATAATCATGATGATATGCTCCAGCATAAACAATGATTCTTGGTAAGCCTATAGTGCAGCCTATAGGAGCAGGAATGTGGAAGAGGCAGAGAGCTGATGGTTTCAAGAGTTTGTCCTACAGAGAAAGTGGTTGGCACTGGGCATCCTGGCTGTGGCACCAGCAGGTGGCACGGAGGCAACTAACTCAGCACCTCTGCAGCTTCCCTTTGACAGTGAGGTTTGCACTCATTCATCCAGACCCCTCTAAGCTAAAAACCACTGACTGCATCCATGGAGTTCTTTCCCTTCTCTTGGGTCTGATTGGCAACAAATTTAATTTACTCCTCTGCTGCATCTTGCTGACAAAGCACCAGGGATCTTTGGATAAATGATGGACAACACTTCCCATGCGCCCGGGAATCTGAGCAGTTGGAAGACACCAGTCATTGATTCATCATGGTAGCAGGCAGGGCGGCACAATTAGGAAGAAGGTTCCAGGGCTGCCCGCCATGCTAGTGACATGCTGCCCAGGTGTGGGAAGGGGAAACTGGAAGCCAGCACCCAGCCACCAGCTGCCAGGGCCTGTCTGCTGCCAACTCAGATCAGATCATACACACACTCGACATCAAATGTCAGGTCATGTGCAAAGGGGACATTACAAACAGCATCTCCACTGGGTTAGAGTGATCTCTTGATTCTTCCCATTATTTCTGCTAGGGCTTAACTTCATATTTTTAAATAGCATATTTATAGTGTTGTTTCTTGGTTTTTTAAGTTTAGAAATTCTGTTTCCACCTTCTACTCTGGACAATGAGGGCCTAGTGGAATTCTCCCCCCACCCCGCACGGGCGCGCGCGTTCACAGCGGAACACAGAGTGTACTACGGTTTCCTTTCTTGGCACAGACTTCTTTTGGCTTCCACAGCGCCCTTTTGCCTGCCTCTTACCTGCGCCGGACCTTCCAGGCGGAGCTAGGCAGCTCCTCTTGGGGCGGAGAACCTCACTGGGCCATCAGCAGCCCAGTTGGCGAGGAGGTGTCCCCTGGTGCGGAGGAGCTGCCCCCAAGCCGACCACAAGGAACTCTCCTTGTCACCTGCCGTGCGGGTGCTCCCCTGGGTTCGCTGCGTTCTGGACCCCACATCCTCTTGCTGGAAGACAAAACCCAGTAGCTTCTGCGGGAGAAAAATGCACAAGAGTTTGAATTTTATAATTTTGCAGTTTTACTGAAATACTTGAACATAATTTTGAAGTTTACCTTCACATTGGAAGCTTGGGGCTGTTGGGATATTGAATTAATGGGTGTGTGTGAGTTACTGTTTCCACCAGAGAAGGGTTCAGGGCCTTCGGCCAGGCCGCTGCGTCCCCGAGAAGGGTGCGCCCGCGTCTCTCGTACGCTGGGGACCTGCTTGTGGGAAGGCACAGCCCCGCGTCCCCACGGCAGCCCCTGGACGGCAGGCCCTCGGGGTGAGCCCCCCGCCGCAGGCACCGTGCTTGGGTGGGGCCGCGGCCGCCCGGGCAGACACGCGGGCCCCCGCGCCCCCTGCTCTCCGTCGGGTGCGCAGACCCTCCTGCCGTCGCCAGCCTGCCGCCGGGCGGTCTGGTTGCTCTGGGGGTTGGCGGCGCCGCGGCTCCCTTCCCGGGGGGTCCCGCCAGTTCACCCGACTCGCATCTTCCGTCCGCCCCCCAAGCCCTCCTGCGCCGCCTGATGAGGCTCTGCTCCCCGCCGCCCTCTCCGTCTCACGCTCACGCCTGATCTGCTCCCCGCTTTCACGAGATCTCCGGGGAAGTGGGGGCGGGGGACGTTCGGGGAAATCCGAGGAGCAGAAATGCAGATTTACACTGGAAAACAGAACTGTGTGCTGAAAACACGCCGTGTGGCTTTGCCCATGTGCTGACAGCGCACCGCCGGCCAACGCGGGGCCCGGGGTCCTGGGGCGAGGCCCGCGCTTGCCGAGGGGTCCCCTACTCGTCCGCCCTCCTCCGGGCCGCCCCAGGGGCCCGCAGCCGCCGCGCACGCGCCCTCAGGACCCAGGCCCGGCCCATCCGGGGCGCCTCGGGCCGCCGCCACCCGCGCCCGGCTCTGCCTTGGGCCGGTCGGCGAAGGGCTTTGCACCTCGGTCTCTCGGACAGCGCTCCGCACGCGCGTCCCCGGGGTTCCCAGTGTTTGCTCCCGGCTTCCCCCTCCAGGCCCCGGGGGGCGCGCTCTGTGTGTCCCCCGCGCCGCGCCCAGCGGGCATCGTGGGGCCTTCGTGGCTCCCCCCAGGGGTGTAAGGCTCCCCCGCAAACAGCGCCGCTCTGCGCCCCCCCGCCGGACCGGACTCAGGCCCCGCTGTGCCCCCAGCGTGAACTCCCGGCCACCGCTCCCTCACGCCTGGGCGTCCCCGGGGCGGGCTTCCCGGGGCGGGCTTCCCGGGGCGCGCACCCACCCTGACCCTACGGGCAGATTTTAAAATGAATTTATATTTTTCCTTTGATGTTATTAAGAACTAGAAAATTATTTAAAATTCCTCCTAGATTTGATTTATTAAAATAGCAAGTTAGTTTTCAAATATATGAAACATACTCTAATCCTTAAATGTGTGTTTAGTGGACATTTTATACACACAATGAAAATCATGCTTATCATACAAAATATTAATTCAGAAGTGATATTCGCTGTCCTGTGGTATCCAAGTGCACCATGTGAGCATTTTAGTGGAATTCTGCTTTATTTATATATATAAATACAACACACACATATATACACACAGTTTTTTCTCTTTTGGTTAGAATGTGAGGATATTAACCCTGATGTTCGAGATTTTGTAACCTTAAATTTCAAATTTCTAATTAATTTATAGTTACCTTAACTGAGGTCTTCCTCCTTTTTTTCCCCAAATAATTTGTCCGCTTAAGACATCTTAAGAAAAGACGATTTTGTAGACAACACAGAGACTTGAGCAGGGGTGGGGACACACAATCTGTGTGCTGACAGAGCTGCTGGGGCAGACGGGACGGTGTCTTCTTGGGAACTGCCCCTGGCTGAGCCTGGACGGAGCGACCTGGACCCGGACCGCGCCCCTCCAGAGCGGTGGGGGCCAGGGTGGGGGGCATGCTGATAGTCAGGGACTCTCATTTCCCAGCTGCCCATGCCCAGCCTGAAACTTGAAAGACACAGGAACTGCATTTTTGTAGAACCGTATTTTAACTATTTTCGTTGTTTTATCATTTTTTAAATGGTGGCCTTTTTATTGGACCTATTTTAAAGTAATCGATGTGAATGAGGTCTATAATGAACAATGAATATTTTATGATAAATAAATTTCATAATGTGGACAAACTTGTTCTTGTAGCAGACATTATGAAGATCAAAATTAAATAGTAGTTTTTAAAATAGGAGACCTTTAAATGTAATTAGGGGCTTAAAAAATATGTTTCATCACCTCCAAATAATTTTAGGATGGACATGACTTCATTGAATCGTAATAAAAGGCAACAAGCCAAAGCAGAAGACCTTTAAATTAAACATGAAAAGAAAGTTATCAGTGCCAGGAGATACCTGATATTTGAGTAAGTTACCAAGGGAGGCTGCAAAATTTCTGAAGCTTTAAGGGGCAAAAAAAAATACAGCAAATTTTGCTTGGTATTAATTAGGTGTAAATTCCATAGGGAAAAAATCTGGTATAGCTGGTAGAGTAGCAGAACTGGCAGTCCACACCCTGGGGGAGAGTGTCAGGGGAGAATAGTGTAATTTGCAATGTTTCAAAAGGCAACAAATACCATACTTCATGACCACAACTGTCACAGTGAAGTTGTCACTAGTTCTCAAGCTTCTTCCTGTTCCACATGGCATTGTATCTGCTCATTCTCTCTATCCTCTCTCTTTTGTTTGTTTATTTATCCCTCCAGAAAGGCCACTCTGAGACAAATATGAAAAGAATCTTCTCAGCTGAATGCTGAGCAGTGGAGGGAAGGACACTCAGGGTTCTCCCTGCATCAGGGAGAGGGTAGGAGGAAGTCCTGAGACGAGACCCTCCAGAGAGGGGCTGGCCCCGGCCTCCTCTGCCACCCCACATGACCACGTGCGTAGACTCGGAGCATATTCTAACCTATAGCAGAGAGAGGGCAGGAATGAGCTGGAAGTCTCCTTCTTATTTCTCATGCCTAAGGATGAATTCAAATATAAAATGCATGGGAAAATTAGGAAATTATCTGGACAAAAAATAAATTATGAACGAGAATAATGTGTATTTGTCTAGACTGCCTGCCTTCTTCTAAGTGATTTTCTTAAGATATCTAGCAGTGGTGTCTGAATCACTGCCTACAGACACTGCCCAGGGCATCCTTTTGGCAGAGCTTATCATGGTCCTGATTTTCCAGATGAGGAAATTAGCCCCATTTCCTGAGTTCCCTGATATTTCGCTGATGTTCATGAACACTTGGGCTGCCTTGGCCCAGAAAACCCCCCTGTACCAACTCTGCACAACTGCAGGAGAATGGAACGCGTGCTTCCCCAAGTCGCCCCCCTTTTGCACCTGAACACTTCTTGGATCTGTCACCTCGACGCACAAGTCCCATGCAGCCTCACTGGCCCTGCCCTTGCCCTGCCACAAGAGATCCTTCTGTTGTTAACGAACCGCAGGGAAAGGAAGCCATGGTCACCCACGTTAGCACATGGTGCAGACCGCCTTCAATCCACCCCATGTGTCATTTCCAAGGAGGGCCCACTGGTCTGGCACATGGTAGTCAATGCCATGGCCAGTTCCTTCTCAGAGTGTAGAAGACTGTCTCATCTCTCATTTGGTGCCCACGGTACCACACCTCGTAAAGCTTAAAAAAGTGAAATGTGGCTAATAGAGTGGCTAATCCATTTGGTTTCTTAATTCCCCTATAGAGCATCTTTTTTCTACAACAGATGTTTTCAAAATAATTAAGTGATGGGGAACATACATTATTGAAAATGCTGGATGCCTCCCTAATGTGCTCCACATTTGTATATTTGTCAGCACAGAATGGAGTGCTCAGAAATGTTGTGCTATTTATTCTGAAAATTACCAAACATTCACCTTAGCCAAGGAGAAGAGGAGGGCAGAATGCAGCCCAGCTAACTCTCCAGTCCCTGAGAATGTGCCATCATCAGTAGCCTCAGAAATCATGGAGTCCTGTTCAATATATGAGCAGGAAACCCTCCTAAAAAAAATATCCAATTGGTCAACCATCCATAAAACAATTGCTGAAATTAGGACCATTTATTCATTTAATTTTAATATTTCATAAATTTCACATTCTCTGTTGGAAACCTTTGTCCAACATTAAGTGACTTTTGGACTGAGAAATTTCTTTTCATTTCTAATTATTTTTTAAATATCTGGATCTGTCCCATATCTAATGTCTTTACGCCTGGTTCACCTAAGGCCCCTACCCCAGACTTTTAACGCTGGGCGACACTGCATTCCTGAGTCACTTGCTCTTCATTCTGACCAACGTTTGCTCAGGGAGGAATCTCAACACATGTCCACATTTTCAACATTACAGGCATGTAAATGCCCCCAGGAAATAGATGGGTCTCAGCTGTTGAAATAATTTTGCCATTTTTATATGACTCTAGATTGCTCTCTCCCTTTTGGAGTATATTTTTGGGTGTGATATAATTGTTAAAGCACTTTTGAACTTCATACCTCAAGTTTGGGCTGCTGATCTGCACTTTTTCCCTTTATATCTCAGGCTCGTGTGTGAGTTTGTAGACCCTGCTCTGAAATCACAAATGGTTGAAAGACATTAGAATTAGAATAACATGCTCTCATCACGGCAAATGGATTTCAAGTTCAGAAGAACTGCTCATATTCAAGAATATCTTTCTAAAAGGAATCCCATTGTTCCAGAATGCCTTTGGTCTCGAAAGTGAAAATTTTCTTCATTAATTTTTCCAGTGACTATTATGAGACACTCACCTGGTTCCAGGTGTGGGTAGAGCCAAGCATGTGATGAAGGAGACTCCAGCTTACACAGAGCTCATGCAGATGGAGACAGGTAACAAGCAAAGAGAACAATGCACCAGTCAATTCCTGACTGAGGCCCTAAGAGTCTCATGACCAGTGCGTGCGTGCAGATCTGTCATTTCCTGGTGTAGTTACCCCAGGCCGAGCTGGCTGTCTACCCTGGTTTCTGGAACTCCAAGGAGGTTTGGGAAGGTCATCATCTGAATTGTGTTCAGGGCTACAGGCTTAGTTAGATGTTCTCTAAATGGGATGTGGGGAGCATGAAAATGCCTTCACACATTTTCTTCTCTACCCACAATACCATTTCAATGGGGAAGGACCAAGCCCAGTACTGCAACCTTTATTGGAAGGTGGAATGGGATTCATGGAGCATTGTCCGCCTCCCTGTTAGAAAGCAGCATTTGGTATCAGCCAGTTGGGCGAGACATTTCAAGAAGAAGGACAAGGGAGGAAGAAAGAGGAGGAGCTGGAAAAGAAGAATTATTCAAACACAGAAGAAATAAGTATGCATTTTAATACTAAATGGCATTTTTGGTACTATTAGCATTTTTGACAAATGATCAAAAATCACCATTTAATACTATGTACCTTTAAGAAATTTGGGACACTAAATATGGAGCATTGCTATGCTGGCCTGGGATGCTGTGTCATGGAAATGTCATAGTTAATCAATGTCCTTTCTAAGAGAAAACACAAAACTGATTCTTAAGATGTTCATATCCCCCAAAATCACAAAAGACATTATTTTAGAGAAAAATGAATTGCAGACCTTCTGCTTCTAGGAAAATGAGGACATGTCCTTTTCCCTATTCCCATCTCTAAAACCAGACGTTATACAAGAAGCATGCACAATGATTCAGAAAGGCAGGAAGAGGGGCTCCTGGCCAGGAGCAGCAGAGGCGACCCTGTGGGGAGCTGGCTGGGCCTCTATGCACCTCATGTATCCCAGACTCGGAGCTTAGAAGCCAGAGACCCAGAGATGCCAAAGGGGCAGAAGAAGTCCAACAGC